GACCTGCCGGTGACACAGTGACCACGGCCTGCTGTGACAGCGCTGGCCGGCGGATGTGCACTGGCCCTCGTTACCGTCTGGTCTCCACCTCTTCACCGTGCAGCTGAAAGAGATGCTCCCAACACCGCGTGACCTCGTCCTTTGAATGTGCAAGCTCAGGGACAAGTGGACAAATCCGAGTGGGACACGGGTCTGAGTGTGCCGACGCAGGCAGGGGGGCAGTGACAGCGGCGTGCACCCCGGACAAAGCTCCTGACCACCCCATCTGCGCTTCCTGGAATTCTCCCACCACTTCTGTCTGGGCCACTCTCTGTGCCCTCTGGGACCTGCTTGGGACTCGGATAACGCCAACCCTACGCTCCCGGAGCGACTAGACCCGCTGTCCGACGATGGTGGGACCCTGAGACACTGCTCCGTTTGGTGGCAGAGCAGCCTGCCCCGTGGGCTTGAGCCGCGGTCGCGGGTGCTGACCGGTAAGTGAGCTGCGGCCCGTCCTCCCTCACTGCAGAGGTGCGGAGAGGAGGCCCCCCCGTCTCATGGTTTTGCTTTTTAGTTAACGAGCATGCCACTTCCAAGATTAGGGATGTGAACTAGGGTTCAAATGACTGGAAACTCAATATCACAACCACCGAATTTAAAGATAGGCTTGTATTTATTTTATTTTTATATTCATTTTAGGGCATGTGCTCTCACCGGAGAGAGACAGAGAGAGAGGGGATAGAGGGAAAGTGAGAAGGCACCTCTCAGGGTTTGGTCACACTGCAATCCCTTCTCCTCTGGGGATTCTGAGATGCACATACATGCAACTGGTGTATTTTCCAAGCTGCCAGGTCAGGGACTTGAACCAGGCTGTCAGCCACGTGGGGTCGCCTGAAGGGGCCATTGCACCGTGTGCACTCTGGCGCAGGGTCTGTCCTCACTGGGGCCCAGCTGCCCGTTCCGCCTGCTTCCGCATGTCTTGGCAATGTGTTGTTTGGCCAAGGAACTCCCAATCTCTTCTTGAGAAACGCTCCTGTCTCAGTAGATGCAGGCTGAATTTTAAGAAAAAAGCTAAGAATTAAATAAACTTCTTGAAAGGTTTTCACTGTGAGGATCCAGGTCTCAGCTAAGTGATGCTAGTCTGAGAGTGGGACACAGCATCAGGTGGTGAGTAGGTGATGTTTAAAAAAGAAGTCCCAAAAGTAATGTCTGTTTGTTGAAAATTAGAACGAAAAACAGGGATATTTTAAAGTCCTCTTTACTCTCAATCTCTGTTTCCCATGAGTAACACTTTCTTCCTCAAGAGCATTTCAAATTTACATATCAGTAAATATATAATAGTACGTGACACTAATATATAATAGTACATGACACTAATATATAATAGTACATAACACTAATATTATCTATAATAGTACGTGACACTAATATATAATAGTACATGACACTAATATTATATATAATAGTACGTGACACTAATATATAATAGTACATGACACTAATATATAATAGTACATGACACTAATATATAATAGTACGTGACACTAATATATAATAGTACATGACACTAGTATATAATAGTATGTGACTAATATATAATAGTACATGACACTAATATATAATAGTACATGACACTAATATTATATATAATAGTACATGACACTAATATATAATAGTACATGACACTAATATATAATAGTACGTGACACTAATATATAATAGTACGTGACACTAATATATAATAGTACATGACACTAATATATAATAGTGTGTGACACTAATATATAATAGTACGTGACACTAGTATATAATAGTATATGACACTAATATTATATATAATAGTACGTGACACTAATATTATACATATAATAGTACGTGACACTAATATACATATAATAGTACATGACACTAATATTATATATAATAGTATCTGACACTAATATTATATTCCTTTGTAAAAACGTGTGGTATCGGCTGCGCAAATGTTTGACGCCCTGTCTCCTGTCAATTAAAGGCACACCTGAAGGCCACTGTGTCTACTCAGGGGAGACGTCTCACCTTCTTATCAGATGAGAGCAAGGGGACATTTCTTAAGGGAATGGCGGTCCTAGAGTAAGCAGAGAAATTAAAATGCGCAGCACTAACGGTTGGCGAACATGAGTACAACCGAAAACCGTAAGTGCGGACGTGGATAAATAATGCAACATGCGCCTCCTGCCGAGGTCAGCCGGCGGATGCATGCTCAGCCTGGGGCTGGCCGGTCCGAGTCCTGGCCTATGGCCCTGAGCCCTGAGACCCTGCCCAGGGCATCCCGTGCTGCCGTGCCTCTGCCACACTGCACTGCCTGGCACACCCCACACTGGGCCCCGTGCCAGGGCCACACCGAGCTCACGTTCCCACATCGGGTGTCCCCCGACCCAGTCGTTGAGGTGGTGGTTTGGGGTCCACTTTGACTGGTGACCCATGACATTTAGAGTCACACGTCAGAGTGATTTCTGTGCGCCTGTACCCGCAGGTTGTGGTAATTCCTTGCTTCATGGTCATCGGTTTATAAAGGTCAGAGTCACCCTGACAGTCATGGCATACATTTCTGCTTCACATCAGTCCCAGCAGACGGCATAATGGTTATGTCATGGACTCCCATGTAGTCGCTAGGATTCAAGTCCTGGACCCGGTGGCTTAAAACTCATGCTGGGTGCATGTGCATGGGCACCCAAAATCCTGAGAGGAGAATGGAGAAGGGATTGTGGTGTGGCCCTCTCCTCTGGGGGGTGATTTCTCACTCTCTGTCTCTCTGGCAAGCACATGCGCCCTATAGCAAAAAATCTCTCTTGAAAGAAAGAAGGGAAGAAAAAAAGAAACAAAGGCGTCCATATCTCTGTCCTGGAGCGGGGCAAGCAGAGGGGGCAGGCTGCGGGCACTACCTACCAGGAGGGTAGGTGGAGGAGCCAGGTGGCCCCTAGCCCTCAGCGGCCTGCTCCTGAATAACCCTCGGGGCCCCTGAGCTGCAAGCAGGGTCCCCTCTCGAGTGTGTCCTCTG